CTCGCCTGGCTCCTGCTGACCCCACTCCCCCAGGGCCGAGGATAGGGGTGTCTCTTGCCTAAACGTTTCTGTTGGGGCTTCTCTTTTTTGAGGTAAGCAAAGAGATTATGTTCACCACTCATGGCGGTTACTCAAAACCTCGGGAGTCTGCCAACAGACTTTGCCTTAGGAAGAATCAATTGCCCTGTTCTTGCCCCTCTTGTAAACTAGAAAAATATGGGGTCATCTTAGGGTACCCCGAAGAGGGCAAAAGCTCCCAATTATCCACTGATGCCTCCTCTGTCTACTCCTCTGAGTAGCGTTGGGGGAGGTTGGATGGCTGGATAGGACAGCAGGCTCCTGCGTCACGGGCACAGTTAAGACGCAGGTGCGGCCGCCTTCTGGCAGTGTGCTTTGGGCAAGTTACGCCTTTCTCATCTGTGGGGCAGGGAAGGCCCACCCGCCCATCTTGCTGCCCCTAAGTGAGAACAGGGACAGAACAGCCTGGCCCATGTAGTCAGAGTTCTTTTTTTAAATCATCAAGTAATAAATATTCAGAATTTTTAAGGCCCAGAGAGAATGTATGAATTAGCTGGCCTCTCTGCTTTCACGGATGGGGAAGTGATCCCCCTGGGTACTAAGTGGACTTTCCCAAGTTAATTTCAAAACAGACTAGAATCTGGCACTTCTGTTTCTGAGTCCAGGCCTGTCTCCCTGTGCCACGTCGTCTGCCCACTCGGTGGCTTTTCTCCTTGCCCAGGGGCACCAGGGGCTCCCCTGTATGTGCCAGGGTTACCTGTAGGAACCCTGTTTTGTTACATGGGGCCAGGAGGGAGTGTGGTGCATGTACTATAGCCCATGCCAGAGCCACGGACACCCGCTGCCAGCCCCAAGAGCCACACTGCTCCTCCTACAAGCTCACTGACTCCAACCGGGTGTCAGAGCATCAGGCCGTTGGTGGCCAGCAGCACTGCCGCCGGACAAACGCTTCCCCACGTCCCTTCGGCAAGAAGCCTCCGCTTCTGCCTTCCAGGTGGGAAGAAGAGCTGTTGGGTGCAAAGCTGCCTTCTTACTTCCACTGAGACATGAATATAAGACGCAAAGCTTGAGGAGTCTCTTTCCAAGTGAGTGAGGCTGCAGGACCGGAGAAGCCACAGCCCCGGTCCCACGACTGGAGAAAAACCCCCATGGTGACAAAGAACCCAGGGCTCGGCCGCCGGGACCAGTGATTTTTCTATTCTTAGAGTTGGGCAGAGAAGTCTGAGAAGCCAGCAAGGAGGGGAAGAGGGGAGCAGCCTCGGAGGCCCACCAGTTCTGCTTTCATCTACCGTGTTTATCGCTGTTCTATTTAAAACCTTATTTGAATAAAGACTTTTGCTGCCATGTAGGCGCAAATATACCTGCATTTATTTTAGGTTGACCTTTCATTACAGCCTCCCTTATTTTCCTTACTGGAGAAATATACAAACACACAGAGGTCACACTTGGATAAATTTGTGTCCCATAAAGTCAAGGACAGTTGACGTGCTCTAAGAGGAGAAAAAAGGAGGGGAATATTTGGAGAAGGCCGTACCTTCTGGCATGACCACCTTCTGCAGGTGATCGTGGATGTCACGCTTACCTGCACTGCATTTTGCAAGCCCCTGAATGTCTGTCACTGACTTCTCTTCTACAAGCTGAGTCTCAAAGTCACACTGGCCAGTGGCTTCCCTGGGCTTAGGAAGGGTCCCGTCCTTGTTGGGCCCTGGATACCCCCAGTGAGCATGGCCGCCTGTGACGTATTTTTCCTTTGAGGCTGAGAAACAGGTGGCCAAGGAAAGGAGCCCCTTGTCATCTAGACTTGGTCAGATCCCTTTTGCAGAGAAGCAAGTGGAAGGCTGCACAAGGACCTACGAGTTCCTGATCGTGTCCCAGTGTCATGTAGTCTTTTGCTGATGGACAGGAGAGGATAGAGATGCATAGTCAAGGCTGCATGGTGGGGCAGAGGAGAGGAAACCACCGCCACTTCCGTCATCACAGAGAGTAGCTGTGTGAGCAGAGAGACTGGTCACCCTGCCCTTTCTGAGCTCAGGGGAGAGGATGAATGAAAAAGCCCATCTAATCAGGGCGACAGCGTCATATGATCCTAGTGGTTTCTCACTGATCCACACACACCTGAGCTCAATGAGAAAGGGACTTTAGTAAGAGTCACTTTTCATGTGGAAATCTAGAGCCTTCAGCACAAAAGGACTGCTCCATGTGTATCCCCTGGTGTCTGACCATCTCCCCGACTGCTGAGTGAGCCAAGGGTCGTGTCCCGTCCAACCGACAGGCCTGAGTCAAGTCTCTTAATGGCCTGAGGTCTCAGACTCCAAATCTGAAAAATCTGGAAGACTAGCTCAGTGCTCTCTGGGGACACACCGAGGATAATAACCAAAATTCATATCATACTTTAAGCCTTAGAAAGCTTTTCACAGTTTCTCATTTGGTCCTTATTTTGCTACAAAGTGGCAATTATCCCGAGAGCACAGATGAAGAGACCAAGACACAAAGACATGTCACGACTTCCTTGAAGCATCTCTGTGGATGCCTTCTGGTTGCCCACCTGCCATTATTTCCAGCACATCGTACTCCTAGCTCAAAGATTCTACAATTCAGCTTTTTTATGGGTTTGTGCTGTAGACCATGCGTGTGTTCCCCAAACTCGCACATTGACACGTAATCCCCAATGTGCTGGTCTTGGGGTGACAAGTGGGTCATGAGGGTGGAGCCCCGCAGAGTGAGATTAGCACCCTTCTGAAAGTGACCCCACGTGGAAGCCTCTACGTGGGGACTGTTTACTTCATGAAGGGCTAGATAAGGTTTGCTCGTATCACCTAAATCATCTTCCTTAATCAGTTTTAAAGACTAGTATGTGGTGGTGTGAGTGAGTGAGTAGTCTTGGAGAGTGCCAGGTTTCTGGCTTGGGCGCCTGGGAGGTGAGTTTTCCCTTCAGGGAGGGTGGGGGAGGGCAGGGAAAGCTGGCTCCAGTGGGAGGAGGCTGAGTTCATTGAGCTCATCCGCACACTGGGCTTCGGGTGCCCGTGTGGAGCTCAAATGAGAGCGGGGGTGCGCCTAGGGATTTGTGAATTTTGTGCACAGAGCTATGGTAATCAGAGGCATGGGGGTGAAGGAGATGGCAGAGAGCAGGAGCCAACAGGAAGCCTTCCTCATGTCCTCCACAGCCAGGGCAACCAGTGCGACGTCGGAGGAGCTAAGAAGAGTCTTTACAGCATTTGCTAAGGTGTAGTTACAATAAAGAATGGTGCCATGGAAAAGCGACATGTACACGCACATGCACACACATTGTTCTATGATCAAATAAGTTTGGGGAAGTCTGTGTATTTAGAGAACATCAAGGACTGACAAGTTCTGCAGAAAAGAACTATTGCCTCTTTGATAACTCAGCTTTCCCCACGGGCCAGCTGTGGTCAGAGGTTATTCCAGAATCTGAATGTCTCAGAATGAAGGAAAAAACACAGAGCAGGGACAGTGCCCATCTTTTCATTGGCCAGATGAAACCATTGTGGCTGAGCAATTGATTCCAAGTTCACAGCTGGCTACAGATACACGAGGGTCATGGTTGCCCCCTAGTCCCTTGATTCAGTCTAAGAAAATTCCAGTTGATACAACAGAGTGAAAACTGGCAACATATTTTTCCAAATCGACTCACTGTAGTGTTTCTAGAACAGCATTCTCCGTGACCTTGAATTTGCATTCTGGCTCTGTCATTTCTTAGTTGTATAATCTTGGACAAATCAGCTAACTTCTGTGAGCCTCCATTTTTCATCTGTAAAGGGGGCTATAACAGTAACTGTTTAGTAGGATTATAATTAGATGTGACTGTTAACCTAAAAATAAAAGGCCAAAGTGAGAGGCAGTAAGTGTTTATTTGAGATCTGAAAGAACAGCTATTCATGAAGCACTGATTTAGGCAGAAATACAGACAGTGTTCTGATTAGGAAGTGAAGGCAAGAGGCATTTATGAGCAAGGCAAGGGGAGCTTTTGCTTGAAAGGAAGAAGGAATTTCCAGAGCTGCAGATAAGCCAACACCGTGACGCAGTTTCTAAGGAATGTTTTTCAATTTCAGTGGGTGGTCATGTTGTCTTTCTGGTTGTTTCAGCAGACAGTTATCTGGAATGCAATGTTGCTTTAGGCCCAGTCCAAAGATTGTATCTCCCAGTTTTATCGTTCCAAAGGTTTTGAGGAGTAAGACGTGCTAGGCAGTTCCTTCGGGATGGAAGCTCTGGCTCCATTTCAAAGTGGCTCCCTTTTTGTTATCTTTTACATTACTACTAAGACACAGAAGGTTTGAGAGGGCGACCTGCTTGGAACTGCACGGCTAAGAGAGGTAAGGCTGGGACTGCAACCCAGATCTTTGGGCTCTAAATCTGGGGTTTCCTCTATTAACCCAATCATTTCTACCAGGACTTTGAATTGGGCCTGAGGGTGTACCTCCAACAATACCCTGGCATAAGGGCAGTCCAACGTCCAAGACACAGAAGGCTGGGGATGGTGGCCCAATCAAACTGGAGACCAGAGATCTTCTGGAAGGCAGCCAGAGGGAGGGTGGGCAGGAGGCAGGGTAGCTTAACAAACATTCCTAAGTCTCAGTCCTAGAAAACTTTTTAAAATACTGATTCTGACAGTGTACGCCAGTCTTGGTTTACCTGAATGGCAAACTGGGTGGTGAGGCCAGACCAACTCATCCTTAAACAGATCCACAGGCAATTCTGAGGCACCACCTAAATCTAAAAGCTCTATCCTTTCCCAGACCATCCAAGAGCCCACGGTGCTCACAGATCAGTGCCTGAACCCACCTGGTCTTTGAGTTTTCCTGTGTTTCATAGAATCCAGCGTACGTATTTGGGTGGGTTGTGGGAGCAAGCTTCTAAAAAGCTGCAGGGGAAGAATTGCACCTCCGAGTGTGAAGAGGGCGGGCCCAGCCTAGCTTCCTCCCTCTCCTCCTCTGGGCTTCCTGTCGTCACAGCGTGATGACATTTATTCCCCCTCACTTCTCCCTTTACACACACAGTCTCAGACATCCTTGTTGCCAACCTTGCTGCAAACACCTTCTAGGATAAGCGTCACTTCTGCCTGAAGGACTGAGGAAAAGCACCTGCAGAAGGTAAGATTAGTGACATTTTAACCTGGGTTGAGAGCGGAGACCCAAACCACACAACGTGGGAGAAGGTATCTACTCAGGAGTCTCCACACACTTCTGTAGTCACCCTAAAGTCGCCTTCTCCTGTTTCACAAATATTGTGCAAGAAGGAAAAAGGTCAACAAGATCCCAGTAACCCTCAAGAGGCAATCTGGCCAGAAAGATTTTTAATTAACTGGGTTCTCATTATCTGATACCACTTTGGGTCAGGGCATTCTGTGCTTAAACTACTTCTGAACTTGAATTTCTGGGTGTGCTCCTGTCTGATGCCTGGAGCCTTCTATGAAAGATGAAGTTGGGGAGATGTTTCTATGTGCTCTGGTCTTTAAAAGATTGGTCTTGTGATTTTCAGGTGAAGAGAGAACCATTTCTAAATAGCCAGAGCCATTCAGAAAGTCAGCTGGGAGAGGAGGTCTTCCGCATGTGAGAAAATTTCAATAGTTAGTGACTTCCTTTAACCCACTAGAGAAAAGGACTGCTACAAATCACAGCTAGGAACACAGGATGTGCTCACTACCCATATTTCACATACTGAAAGGTAGGCATTTCTAAGGGCTACTTAGATGGGTTGTTTTCAGATGGCAGGAAGGGCATTGGGATCCTTACAGTTCCACCAAATAAGCTTATCCTTGGTGTACAAACCATGAATATGAGTAAATATGACTTGCACCAACCAATGAAATATAATATGGCAATGATTCCTAATTCATGCCCCGTAACTAAAGATTGGGACTCAAGGACTCAAAAAGTCACAGCCATGCTTTTGTCTTGGCTTTCTGTGACTGTCATACTGGCCTGGGTCATGACAGGGACTCTAGATCAGAGCTTTCTCCCTCCAGGACCTGTGAGAATTTCTCCTGGAGGGGACAGAAAAGTTCCCTAGGACCACAACCAATTACTTAACAGTGAAGGATGGGAATCTGGCTGAGGGCTCTAGATTCCCAAAGCTCTTCAGGGACTATTGAACCTTGAATTTAACCATAAAGACAAGTCTTTAAAAAAATAAAGTCGTTTAATAATCAGGAGTTAAGCACCTTCTGGGGCCAGACATTGTGCTTTGGAAGATACTGGTGGGGTGGGGGCAGAGTGGCAAGACAGGAGGTTATTTGTCCAGCAGATTGTCCAGCCCTTCAGGAACTCCCATGAGCTCAGTGATGTTAGACATGTATGTAAGTGCTTCAGAAAAACGTTGAGCAAAAGCAGAATCTTAGCTGCTGGCTGATGAAGAAGTATCGCTTTCTCAATTTCCACCAGAATCTGCACTGTTTTGAAATTGTGGTTGAATTGGAGCAGAGGCTGCGCTAAAACTTGATTTCCTGTGGTGTTTCCTGTGTGGGTGGTTAAGAATATCTAGCCTTTAAATGAAACGACCTTTCTACCCCCAACAAGGAATGATTCAAACCCCATCTCTTCACAATGACCACCACTGAAGGGACTCAGCTTTGGGAAGTGATGAGAGTTGTCACCTGGGAAGATCACACTCGGTGGTCTTGAGCTTCTGTGTCCTCAGTTTGACCTTTTACTGCTCAGAAGGCTCCAGACTCACTCCAGTGGCTGCTCATTGTGCTCAGTGCCAGGGACCGAGGATAACTGATGTGGTCACCCAATTCAGGGCGTGCATAGAGTCTAGCGTGGAGGACAGACACAAACATAACACACAAACACAACACAATGTCTTCTACAGTGAGTGGGAGAGTGTGCACAAAGTTTGGAGTTCAGGAGTGTGCCAAAGGTTCCCTGGGAGAGGGGGTGACTGCTTGAGTTCATTTTCAAAGAAGTATGAGTTTGCTGTGGAGACTGGAGTAATGGCATTCTAGACAGAAGACAGTGTATGCAAACTCAGAGATGTGTGAGCCCCTGGGTGTGTTAGAAAGGAGAGCAAGCAAGACTCAAATAGAACCAGCCACGGTTGCAGGACCACAGGAAGTGAAACTCCCTTTCTTACTTGGTTCTAGAGACCCAGCTTCTCAAAGTGGAAAGCAAGCTCACTAAGTTGGTGGGTCCTTAGCCTAGCCTTGGATGGGGCCACACCTGAGCTATCCACATGGCAGAACTGAGGGGATGTGGACTGAAATGAGGGGGAAGAGGCAGCTATTTTCCTCCCCGACCTAGATTGTGAGCTCTAGTAGAGTGAAGGGTGGGGCTTTGTGCGAGGTTACAGCCTCTCTCTCCTTCTCCCTCTCTCTCAGCTTCTGTGAGAATGCTGCAGCTTCAGGAAATGCTGTGTTGATTCCGTTACAGTGGTTTGGTTTATGTTCCTACATTAGTCAGTCCACAGCACTTCCTGTACCATGTGAGCATTGGATGTATGCAGACCACTCTGGGCCCACAGACTGGGCACTTGCTCTCAGGGAGGTCCAGGACCTAGTCGCCACTGCAGGTGCAGAACGCTGAAGCAAAGTCACCTGTGGAAACTAGTCAGCTATGTGCAGAGTGGGACTTTGGGGTGGCTGCTGGGCCACAGAAGCCAAGGATGGCAGCCAGAGCTCAGGTGATCAGCGTGGGTGGGCTGTGGGAAAGAGGGAGATGCTGTGTTTCCAAAGCCAAGGGTGGGCACTCAGAGTGGAGACCACGCATCCCTGTGTCAATACACAGAGGCGAGGCTGCTCTTCCTTCCCCATTTCTCAAGCACACCATGGACTTCCTAACCAAGCAGTAGCATTGGTATATCACATGTGTTGTTCAAGAATTGTGGTAAAGAAAAGATGCCACAGGGATACATTTCTAGAATCATTTAAAATAAGAGTGTTATATTCCAGGCGCTTGAGTTGCTCCTTAAAGAGAACTTGGAGATTGTTTCGGTTCAAATAAAGCAACTCATAGTAAGAGACCAATACATATTAGCTATTATAATATTCCAGTCGACTTTTCCGTTAAGGTGATGTGTCCAAAGTCATAAAATTTCTTATCTATTCAGAATATTTCCTGATTTCCTGTGGGATGCCCTTTCCTTCACACCACACTATCCTCCCCCTTTGTATGGACTTTCTATTAAAGAGCATCGTTAGACCATGTTCCTTGTTCCCATAAAGAAATTTCCTGTGCATCTTAACCTAAGCAAAATAAAAATATAATTCAATTACAAGCCCAATTGATCTGAAATCCATTTGTTTAATATATTTAATATCATATATTTAATATATATTTAACTTGTCAAACTTTTGTTTGATATTCCCTCTCTCAGAACTACCTGAGGAATAATGGGGAGAAAGGATTTTGACACCTCACATCTTTTGAAAATTGTTCAAGTAGATGTGGGCTCATGGCTTACCATTCATTCTATATCAGGAGTAAATAGAGGCATTAGAATTGTCCCATGGTGCCTTGGACTGTGTGGCTTAGTTGGTTGGGCGTCGTTCGGTAGAGCAAAGGGTTGTGTGTTCGATTCCAAGTCAGGGCCCCTGCCTGGGTTGCAGGTTTGGTCCCTGGAGGGGGGCAACCAATGGATGCTTCTCTCTCACATCAGTGTTTCTCTGCCCCTCTCTTGCTCCCTTCCCTTCCCTCTTTCTCAAAAATGAAAATCATAAGCTTGTCCTTGGTTGTCCTCAGTAGGATTAATAAAATAATAATAATTATTCCACAGTTTGTTCTTCTAAAAGAAGGTTCTATGGTAGAATCTCAGTCCTTTATACTCTCACGGACTTAGGTTGTCATGATTTTGAGATCAGAGTCTCTTAGACCTTTTACTCATATCCAACTCTTAAACTTTTTATTTTGATAAAAATTTCAAGCTTACAGAAAAGTTGTAAAAATTGTACCAAGAATTTCTGAACCCCCTTAACCCAGCTTTCCCAAATATTCACATTTTACCACACTTCCCTCACCTTTCCTGGGTTTTCCCAGTAGACAGCCTCCTTCCCTCTAAGTGACTGGGTGTGTTTTTTCCACAAACAAAAACATTCTCTCACACAACCACTTTACAGGGATCAAAACCAAGGAATCAACACACTGATGCGGTACTATTAACCATCTACAGATTTTATTCAGATTCCAGCAACTGCCCCGTTAATATTCTTTATAGAAAAAGGACATCGCTGATCACGTGTTGTTTTTGACTGTCGTGTCTCTTTCATTTCCTTTTATCTGCAATAGTTCCTGAGTCTTTCTTGGTATTTCATGACATTGACATCCTTGCAGAGTAGAAGCATGTTATCTTGTAGAATGTTCTTCTGTTTGGGTTTGCCTGATGTTCCCTCATGTCTGGATTCTGTTTGGTGAAACCTTTTATAGAACAGACATAGAAAACCCCACAAGAGTGGCTTTTCTTATCCCAGAGAGAGCCTTGCCCACACCAGGCACGCTGTGGACAGGCCCCTCGGACAGGAACCTTCTACCACAAAGTTCTCTGTATTTTTAGGGTGAGGAGAGAGAGCCTCATGTCAGCTGTGTAACAGCAGTAACCCTTCCTAATTTAGAGCGGCCTCTATGGGCTCTGTGACAGCAGACTGGCCTTGTTGGAAGGTCCCTGGCTCAGCTCAGTCACTGGAGGCATCGGCAATTTTCTGCCGAGCTGCTGTTATCTTGCTAAGCTTCCAAATGGTAGGCGATGAACCTCCAAAGTCATCTGGATTTGTCTACCTTCATTTTTTTCCTCTTCTCTTTGCTTTTTCTTTCATTCTTTCTTCTACAAATCCACCAAGACCTCTCCCCTGAGAGCAGCTTTGAAGGGAGAAAATTCCACCAGGCCACAATGTCAGGGAGGCATAAGCTGATGCTCTCATTCCTTTGACAAGGCGATAGAAAGAGGAGAGAACACATACAAGTTGATGGTTTTGTCCCATTTTAGCATCACCTCTCTTCCTACAAATGCTCATTACCCCCTGGAAGAGACGCGAATGCAGAACCCCGACCCCTCAGCCCCTGCTCACAGGGGCTCCTCCTGGGGGCTCAGCATTTCACAGCGAGTAAGCTGAGTTGGGAAGTGGGAGGCTCAAAACCGGAACCTGGGGCAGTGAAGGGAGCGT